GAACCGTTCGGGTTCGGTTCCCGAGTTTCATAGAATAATCAATTTTTTTTATATATATTTACAATAACGCTACATTAATTCAATTATGATATGTTCAATCTTAACTTTTACAAAATAAAATAGTTTAGTCCCATGATTTTTTTGTGCCTCTCATTGTAGAGTTCTTCATAAATTTGATTGTTAAAATCACAAGAATAGGAAGATAGCGAACTCACAATAACGAAAAGAGGCGTAGCCAAGTTTCCAATTCGATTTCTCCATAACGGCGGAAACAGTAGAATATGAAATTTGGATAAAACTTAGGTAAATTTGATTAAGATGGGATTTACTAAAAATTAAAAATAGAAAAATCATATTTTGGGCAGAGGCTAATTAGTTATCAAAAATTTTTTATTTTTTTTTGAAAAGTAAAATAATTTTGCTTATTTAAGATAAAAAATTTAAAAAAATTATGAAGATTTGGTTCTTATTCAGTTCATCGATGCTTTGTCTGGAACTGAGAATCAAATTGAATCGAACCCATTGATTTTGGTATACTACATGATATTTTCCAATACACGAGTTAGCTTATATATTGTTAGCCTTCGTTTGGTCCCCATTGATTTTCATTCCATTATATTTTATTTTTCTTTCTCATATTTTTAATCACACAATCTTCTATAAAATAATATTACACGTAAATCGAAAACTTTTCTTTCTTTTTCATACACTCATCTTAAAAAAAATAAATAAATAAATAAAAAACTATTCTACCTATTTCATTATCACAAAATGAGGGGCCAAACAAGAGCTTAGATATCAACTTAAAAAAATAAATATGGATTAGTTAATTTATAAGCTAAAACATGTTTAATTTATCTTCATATTACATTGTGATCGAGAATCTAATGAATCATAAAGAAATGGTGAGAATAAGGAGATTAAAAATGTGGAGAAAATTAATTGATACATGGAAGACATTTATGTAATTTATTGTAGGTTGGAATTTCAAGTTAATAGGCCAAAATTAATTAAATGGATAAAAAACTTTGGGTCCACTATCAGACCTTCCAATGGGAAAATTACCCACAAACCGACATTTTAATTTCACATTTCAAATGCCAAGTACAAAGATTTTATATTTCAAAATTCAGTCTCCCACGCCCTACCAAGGTGTCCTACACCCCAACCCTCGGACCTCACCCCTATTCCTTAATTAGGCCCCATTTGGTAGGGATTTTTTATCCCAAAAAATTGATTTTTTGATCGTTATTTTACTATTTAAGCCGTAATTTTTGACTTCTTCTCTCACATGTGGACTCCACTTTTCTTCTAACAGTCAAAAAATCAATTCTCAAAATCCCTACCGAACGGGCCCTTAAATTCTTCCCAAAATCCATCCCAATTTCCCATACCAACATCATCGTGGCTAGAAAATCCTTCTATCTCCATTTTCTTTGAGATTTTGACGATGAAGATGACGAAAAATTTTGTGGTTTTTTTTCCTCACAAACTAATGGAATTTGATTAGAACTCTCAGTAGAGAAAGTAATGCACTGCTCTTCGGCTTCATAAATCCCCCTTAATTTTTGCTTCGATAGGATGTTATACAGTCAATTGGGGATCTTCTTACCTTTTTTACTGTGGAGGTGGTGGCGATTGCAAAAGATTTGGCCAATCTCTTTTGCCTTTGAGAGAAGCTCCAGCGGAATGTATAGAGGTGGTGGCGCAAAACCATATTCATTTTTAGGGAAATCTATATGTGTCATTTGTATGGATGGAGGCAATTTGGGTGATGTGGTGGTTTTCTGTGGAGGAGGAGACTTACATGGTGCTAACGATGGTTGAGCGTGGTGGGATGGAGGTATTCGATTAGTATGGGATAAGTTAAAAAGTGTGACTATTTGTGATCAAATCTGTATAAGTTATTATTTGTGACTATCTCTATGTAAGTTGTTATTGTTTTATGAATAGACATGTATTATCTATGATAAAATGTGACCAAATTTATTTTCATTGTGAATGTCTGTAAGTAGATCAGTCTAAAATGTGATTGTACGTGACCATATCATTAATAATTTGGTCACATTCAGTCACAATTAAGATAGATTTGGTCACAAACAATTACAACAAAGATGGATTTGATCACAATCGATCATAATGAATACAAACTTGATCACATGAGGGTCACAATTAACATATAAATAGTTACAAATTTTAAATGTAAACGTGTTTTTTCTCAAACATTTTTGGTCACAAATGTCACTGTTAACGCAAACTTGATCAAGAACAATCACATGAACTATCATTATTCAATTTGCATCTAATTTTATAATGGTGTTTAATATCAACTTCCATTGACGAGTCTACAAAATTGGCCCTTTTGTTGTGATTCAAAAGCTCATCACCTTGAACATTTGTGTGTAACTTCAATTTTTGTAGCTTAACACCATAGATTTATATCTCGATGCGTTATGTTGATAACATAGAATTAAAAGAAATTACAGGGAATATAAGAAAAATAAATGATGCTAAGAAACATAACTCAGATGATAATTCACATAGTATAATTGACACAAATAAATCTGCAGCTTTTGATGTGAACCAAACTGAATAATTGTTGCTTCAGAAGACATAGGGAAGTATTTTTGTGGATTACGTGTGATAATATGATTGCTATGAGGATTTTAAGGAAGATAGGGTGGACATTGGTGGCAGAGGTGAAGAACAGAGCAATTGGAGAAGGTGGTTATGGTGGTAGTGGACGAGAAATGGATATGGCTTGGTAATGACAGATTTGGAAATGGGAGAGAAATGTATAGATAGGTGATAGATACAGTGATGCCATCCTGGGAAGAGAGTGAGTGTTGTAATATTATTTATGGATAATTGCAGCAGAGGTTCGAAACCTTTCAAACATTAGTAGATTTTTCTCAGGCCTTTAATTTGTTGCAATTGTCACCCCAAACCTTCGAACGTTGCGATGGGGCCATTTTTGACGATTTTCATCCAAATGTCAGTTAGCTAATTAAAAAATTTGATTTTGACCATATTTTTAAAAGGGTAAAAGTAACATTTCATTTACTACATTAAAATAAGTTAAAAATTAAATTACAAAAGAAAACCCCCCATCTTTTCCCCCCCCCCCCCATCTCCACACACACACCCACACCCAAACTCCCCCGAGTCAACTGTCTCCTGGGTTTCTACGTATTCCATTATTTCTAAATCTGGGCTTCTCTTTTCAATGATGAAGAATATTGCTATGGCTCTATTCACTTGCATTTTTGCTTTAGGTATGGTCAATTTGATCTTGTTAATTTCCACACTCAACACTGAATCAAACACTACAGGATGTTTTTAAATTTTTCCCACGGCCTAAAATTTCAAATTCCATCAATTTTTTCTATTTATTCATGAATTAATTAGTGAAAGTCCTACCCATATTGGATTTTTAGGTGGAGCTACAGTTGGAGTAATCACCGAAGGTCTCAAAAGGATAGACTATGAAAACTAGTTTTCCACAAGGGGTGGGCGTTGGTACGGTGGCAGAGCCATCGCCGGCGTTCAATTGATGGAACTCATAGTTAACGGAGAGCCATTTTCTAAGGTGAAATTTAGGTAGAATTTTAAAATTAATATATATCAATTTGGAGAAAAGAGAGAGATAGCATGGTAGAGATTTGGGAAAAGGAGCAGATGTTGATTCTTGGGAGTTTGGGTGTGGGGGTGAGCGAGGGGGAAAAAGAGGAGGGTTTTTCTTTTCTAATTTAAATTTTAGCTTATTTTAATGTAGTAAATGGAAAGTTACTATTTTATTCTTTTAAAATTATTAAAAATTTTGTCAAAGTCAAATTTCTTAGTCAACCAACAGACATTTAGATGAAAACCTCCAAAAGGGCCCCCTCCACAACATTTCGAAAGGTTGGGGTGACGATTGCAACAAATTGAAGGTATGAAAAAGTCTGCAAATATTTTAAAGATTTGGGGTCTCTGCTGCAATTATCCCTATATTTTATCATTATTGTTATTATAATTTAACACTTGAAATTTTTTTTACGAATCTGTTAAATTTGAATTTGTATTCTTACAGTATTGTATTTATGTATCCCCCCCCTTTTTCTAATCATACAAGGTTTAGAATTCAAATGCCAAAGAGTTCTAGAATTTAAAATCTAAAAGAGTTATAGGATTCAAATTCCAAAGGGTTTAGAGTTCTAGTCTCGTAGAGATAGAATTGCATAATGTCTCTCTATTGTTCATTAGTGCTTTGGGAAAAAAACATTAAATTCTATAATTTTTTTGCTAGCACAAAATAGTAGAAAACCAAACTATAATCCCTATTGTCCAACCACATAATAATTGTCACCGATTCATATACCGATTTATCGAAATTTATAATTTTTTTTTAATTTCAAAATTAGAATCAAATTAAAGTTACATAAATTTATCCTGATTTTAAACTAACACGAAGAGTAAAAGAGTTCCTTAAAGGAATTAAAGAACTAAAACCAACTTGATAAAATTATTTGGCTAGTGAAACCAACGTCAATTCCTAATAAAACACGATTCAAGATTAGCATATTGACGTGCATCACCGCAACATTGATGATGGCACTCAACAAGAAAATTAGGACATGTGACACCATGATTATCCAACAATCAAATTTCTTGTCCATTGTCATGCTACAACATCAATCAAGTACAGAGAAGATGTAAATGATGTCAAAATTTGACTGTCCAACTTGCAATGTTGATTAGTCGATAAATCATCCATCTATCAAACCAACTTATAATTATTATTATTATTATTTTAATAATTATGTACCGTCCAATTTTCAATTTTCCTGCATCAGAGTCGCCAATTTGACTTGTGGTGCTTTACAGCAAGGGGGTACGAGTGGTGTTGGTAATACAATGAAAGACACGATTAATTTCAAACTTAAATTTTATACGTTTATTAATTATATTTAACAATTATATTCTCTACAGTTTTTTACGTTAATATTAATATTAAACCCGTTGATCCAATCATTACTCATCCCCGTCTCCCGAACGCTAACCCCAAAATTCCCCTCAACAATTCCCTCAAATTTTCTCCACAAATCCATCGTGCAAAAATTTTCCGTTCCCTTCTCCTTCCCCGTAACAGATCCCAATTTTCCCCTTCCTTCGTATTTTCCATCCCAATGAGATGATCGTGAACTCCAACGATCCCGGACCCAATTCCCTCGACTCCTCATCCTCTAAATCCATAAACGAAACTGTTAATGGATCCCACCACTTCACCATCCGCGGCTACTCTTTGGCCAAGGGCATGGGCCCGGGAAAATACATTCAATCTGACACCTTCAGCGTAGGTGGCTACGAATGGGCAATTTATTTCTACCCAGATGGGAAAAACCCCGAGGATTCATCCATGTATGTATCGGTTTTTATTGCGCTTGCTAGTGAGGGTACTGATGTGAGGGCGCTATTTGAATTGACGCTGTTGGATCAGAGTGGGAAAGGGAAACACAAGGTGCATAGCCATTTTGATCGGGCCCTCGAGAGTGGACCCTACACTCTTAAATACAGGGGAAGCATGTGGTACGTATTTCGAGGGATTTCTGATTTCTTGATTTTATGTTTCTTGGAAATTTAACTGTAATTCTGAATTGTGAGTAATTTCTTGAATTAGGGTTTTGGGGGGTTTCTTGTGAAATGAAGTTAATTATGTGAAATTTCAATTTCTGATGCAATTATTTTTCATTCAATAGTTTTTTTTGTCTCGTGTAATTATCTATTACATATGCATATGTTGGTGACTTGAGAGCTATGTAGCACGGACACTTCAATTAGGGTAGCGTATCCGTGTCGGACACGTGTCGATACCGACGCTCCTCGAACACTCTATCATAAACATTTTTCATTGTTTATTAAAAATATTATATATTTTTAACTCAAACTCATTAATAAATAATAAATAGGCACTCATATTTAAAAAGATTTCAACAAAAAATTTAATAACAAGTGTAAAACTAAATTTATACTATATAAATGAAGAATTTTAAAGATTTTAATCGACGTGTTGTGGACACATGTGTCCATATCGGTGCATCATTGCTTGAGAGTAATTTATTCAAATAGGATTCCAGATAGGAGGGCTACTACATAGTTTTCAGTAAGGTTATTGCACAGTATGATTAAAGTACATTTTGTAAAATGATTTTAAATGGAAAAATGAGGTGGTGTTGTTGGTGTTGTTGTTGTTGTGTTTGTGTCTAGAATATTTGACATTAGTCAAGCAATCTTTTAACTGTAAGAAAAAGGTAGTTGCAAACAAAAATCATGGTTTAGGTTTTCAATTTGACGTGGCTTGATTGAATCAAAATTGTGCCATCAGACTGGGATGTAGTTTTAGGGTTTCAAATTTATTTGGTTTGATTGAGCTAAAAGCATTGTATCATTGGACTCAGATTTGATTTTGTGGTTTCCAATGGAATTTCTGTTTTCATGAATATGAGGACTGAACTGAGAGTATGGCAGAATGGTGATTATTAGAAGGAAGAATCTGGCTGATTTCCTAATATTAATGCATTTGATTTGTTTAAATTTACTTTTGCAAGATAAAGTGAATGAACCTTCGTTACAAAAGAACTTTCATTCTGCTGCCCACATGTAATCCTTGCTTGTTTTTCAGGGGTTACAAACGATTTTTCAGAAGGACTACTTTAGAAACTTCTGATTTTTTAAAGGACGATTGCCTTGCCATGAATTGTACTGTGGGAGTTGTAAGAACTCGTATTGAGGGACCCAAACTGTATAATGTTCTTGTCCCGCCATCAGACATGGGTGAAAATCTCACGTACCTGCTTGATTCTGAACTTGGATGTGATATAGTTTTCCAGGTTGGGGAAGAGACATTCAAGGCTCATAAGTTGATACTTGCTACACGTTCTCCTGTGTTTAGAGCCCAATTTTTTGGACTTGTTGGAAATCCTAATGCTGACAAGGTAGAACTCGAGGATATTGAACCTTCTATCTTCAAGGTAATATTTTTATTTCTCTTCCTTAATATTAAGCATTGTTGTTTAATGAATTGAAAATCAGGATGCACAATATTCTTTCCGGTTCATAAAAGGTTTTTTGCTATTCTGAGTTACACTTGTCCCTCTGCGTGATACTCTTATACAATTGTTACAACTGGTGTTCTGTATGATCAAAATGAGGTGATTTTGTGAGATTGTGTTCTGCAGGTACTATTGAAAGTAAACCACGAGCATCCTTAGGTTATTGAACTATTTCTCTATATGTTCTAGAATGGCCTTATTCAAAGCAATTTTAGCACCTCTTCTTCACATATTTTGAGGTTACAGTAGGGAAGAAGTGTTCAATAGTGTGTTAAAGTAGATGGACGTTGAATAGCTCCTTATTATCCTTTTGGGTCTGCGCAGTGCTTATTGATAGGAGATGTGGTTGTCCAAAAGGAAGTAGAATCTGGCGGGAAACTTGAAAATTCTTTATGTTTATCAGACTGAACTTGAAAATTCTTTATGTTTATCAGACTGAATTATTGACCAAAAGACAGTTCTTTGTCTCTTTTAATTTTTTACTTTCTCTTGTTAGTCACCAAGTAAATCAACACTTTCTTTAGCAACATCAGACTAGGTCCTATCTTAAACTCGATAAATCACTAAACGTGGCCAACATACCATGCACCTCTGTGTTCCACTTTTATCTTATCTGGCTCGGTTGATTTATGTGGGCTTTCATCTCTCTGCAGGCAATGCTCCAATTTATCTACTCTGACAATCTTGTTGATTTAGATGAAATCACTGGCTCAACATCTACCTGTACTTCTGCAATCATGATGCAGCATTTGTTGGCTGCTTCTGACCGATTTGGTTTAGATAGGTTGAAACAGTTGTGTGAAGCAAAATTGTGTGAAGAGGTCAGTGCTGAAACAGTGGCTACCACTCTTTCCCTGGCAGAACAGCATCATTGTCCACAGCTCAAGGCCATCTGTCTGAAATTTGCAGCAACAAACTTGGGAGGTGCGTGTAGTCCATAGATCTGAGCGGTGCAATGTTTCAGGTTATTTTATTTTTACTTTTTGTCTGTTATCTGCTGGCATAATCTTAATGCTAATGAAAATATCTGAAGAATGTTTGAAGCAGCTAATAATATTTTATGTACAAGACACTGGGATTTTTCTTGGTAGTGTGTATTTAAAGAAATGTGAATAGTTAATTTAGTACTTGAGAAGGTAGTGAATAATGGAGTCAGTTTGAGTGAGTTTTCCTCTTCTATCTTCTTCCTTTTCTGGTGACTCTTATTTCCTTTCCTTTTTTTTGGTGGCTGTTATGGGGGTGGTAGTTAGCAGGAAAGACAATAATGGGTGGGGTAGGGAAACATATTTTAATAATTCAGTTTATTCTGTGAGATCTGTTAAACTAATTTATCTAAAAGTTTAAGCCGTTAGATAGGGTCATATGTATATCATTTAAATAGTCTTCAACATTTTCCCTCACATATAGACGAGATCATTTTTTCCATCCTAGACATGCAGAATTCATTTAACTGGGTAGGCAGAGTTCAACAAGCTCCCTCACGTGGGGCTGTTAACATGCACATTTTGTTTAAATGGGTGGCAGCGAGACTTAGACACAGGATCGCTACTTGCTTTCATACGATGCAACCAGCTGATCTAGTATATCATTTAAATATTTGTCTTTAATCTTTAGTTGCAGTTGCCTTTGAGTATTAGGGTTTATAGTAGAGGAACAAAAGTCTAGGAGGAAGCCAGTAAATATTCCATTATTATTTTATTTCAATGAGCCCTCCTCTAGGACAGCAGTAGCAGTGCCTTTGTAAAAGTTTGTACTGCCTACCATACTCCCTAATTAGAAGGAATTTGATGAAAGCACAGCTGAATTTATTAATTGTTGGGCAGTGTTTGGGAAGATTACAAAGTCAGTTTTACTGGGTAAAAGTTACAACCAATTTGCTCTGGAGTTTGCTTGACAGAAGTACTGAACGACGACAAGTGGGCCAGTCTTGTTTATATTCTGCCTCAGAGAGAATAAATCAAATTAAATTACTGTGTATATTTATTTTTATGCCTAAATTAAGTGTGTATATTTTGGCACGTTTCTTTTGCCAAAATTCCATTAACAATTTCCATCATTTTCCCTTGACTCCAATGAGATGAAGTACAAAAAGCGTTTGCTCGAAGTTGCCCGTGATTTGGCACATGGGAACATCCCACTAAATGCATGCGCAACTGTATGCAATAGCGTGTGAACCTTTCTTCTTTGTTTCTTGTGGGGTTGCTAAATAGCATTCAAGAATAATATGGTTTTTTCACCGGTGAACATTACTGTGAATGGATCTGTCCATATTGATGGAACTGAATTGTACTGCGTTTGATTTAGCTATTTGCTAATAATAATGCTAAATGTACATTCATTCCCTTACATTGATTTTAACATGATAATGTACATGTAATATGATTGATTTGCTAAGAATTACGTGGATGTTTGTTGTAGCGGTGATGCAGTCAGAAGGATTCAGACACTTGGAAGAGAGCTGCCCGTCGCTGTTGTCTGAGCTGCTGGAAACGGTTGCATCAGTGGATGAGAAGTCAAATAAGAAAAGAAGTGGGAGCAGTATCTTTGGGGTGGATCTGGCGGGCGATGCTGGTGCCATCGAATCTTTAAACCCTGATGCGAGGCGTGTGCGTAGACGGGTATAGACTAGTCTGGTGTGATGACTGACTGAAAATGTAGTGTTGAATTCTATAAACTAGTTAATCTTCAGTCTCAGCTTTGTTTCTTTGAACAAGTTATTTCTAATACTTCTTGCTCTTGTTCATTCCCCGACCCGACCCGACTCTTTGGTCGCCTGTGATATTGGATGGTCCCAGTCCCACTTTGCAAATGAAATCGAAATCTATTTCAAAGAATAAATAATTAATTAACGAAGATTTTCCCATTTAATTTATTTTTCTTTTTAAAATCTGAATGGCTATTTCTTTTGTATTGAGTTGAGTGATTTAAGCCTCTCTTTTAACAACGGTTTAAACAATTTTTCTTTTCTCAAATTCATTTTCAATCACTCATTCTTACAATAAAATATTTTGTGTATAAACTCTTTTTGCTTTTTTAGCTTTTCAATCACGCATTTTTTTGAAAAATTACCATTCAAAGCTCATTTTAATAGTTATCAAATAAAGGTTTAGTTTCCTTGCTCAAACTTCAGCCCTCTCGAAGTTTCCCTGCTCTAAGAATTGTAAAGAAATAAAATAGATATTGTTTATAAATAAATGAAAAAATTCTAAATTAATTTAATGATCCACATTTAAGAAAAATAATCTCATAAAATCTGAAAAACAATTACAAGGGAAAAAAATACTTCCCAATTCGGATTATTAAACTATCTCAAGTTCGTTCTCTTCACACCCTTTATCCGTGATAATTTTATTCCAGTAAAATTTTAATTATCTTTTTGTTAGATTTTATGCGCAATAATAAATAGATAAAATAGAGAAATCAACAACTCTTCATTTTTATTTTTATTTTTTCATTTTAGTTTACACCTCTTGGTATTTTCTTACTTCCTTTGGTCCTTCAAATCAAGTTAGAGAAAAAAGATAGAATTATGACAATATCTTTTGTTGTTATTAGTCCTTGTTTGACAATTATTATTTTAAAACGTTTTTTGACATATTCATTTTTAATTGTATATTTATATAATAAAATATTTTATATGTAAATTTAAAAATTTTATCTACTTTTTAATCACAAATTTTCTTAAAAATCACTATTTGGAACATTGTTTCGTTTTCCCGAATAATGATAATCAAATAGGGGATAATTTTAGAACAATGCTTTGCTGTTCCATTGAAATTGTAATCCTAATTGAGGTGACGCTAATTGATGGATTGAATAAAATGTGAAATTAATGTCATATTAACGTCACATGGGCCGAGATTGTAACCTCGATATTGCTAAATAACATTATTACTAATTTTTGGTAGAGGAGAAGGCAAGTTACGGTGACACAGAAATCTATCCAGATTTGACCTTTGAGAAATATACATCCCATGTGACAAACCACTCCCCATAAGTACGTATGCTCACAATCATAGGATCCGTGAACAGTGGAAATTATTTCACACTTTGCAAGCTAAACAATTCTATACTTACATTGTTCAGATCCTTAAAGGATCAAGAACAAGGGTTTCGAGAAGTTTCATTCAGATATGGAATCAATGAGCAATGGAGGAGGAGCATCACATCTGTTCAAATCAGCCACTTGGATCAAAATTTCTGGGTTTTTAATCACTTCTGCCATTTTTTTCTATTTGGGAAAGCATTTTTCAGATGGGTCTTTGCAGCAACTCGTTTTCTTCAATTCTCAAATCTCCAAAACTTCCACTTCTTCTTCCGTTGCCCTCTCCCCGAACCTCAACAAAACTTTTGATTTGTCTTTAATCTTAAATGGTCCCGTTTCGTCTCCTGTTGGTTCCGGGCGAAATCAACAAGAAGAGGGCCAAAAAATCTTGAATTCGGTATCTCCTCCGCCTCCAGCTCCGGCTCCGCCGCCGCCACCACCGACTGTGCAGAGGATGGGAGTGGTGGATGAGAACGGGGTGATGACGGAGGATTTTGAAGTGGGGGAGTATGATCCGGAGGTGGTGGAGAATTGGGAGAAGGCAAATGAGACGGAAGGTTTAGCGAGCGATGGTAAGGGGGATAAGATTAGGGTTAGGGTTACGAAGTTTCCCATGTGCCCGCAGAGTATGAGGGAGTACATACCTTGTTTGGACAATGAGGAGGCGATTAAGAAGTTGATTTCCACAGAAAGGGGAGAGCAATTCGAGCGGCATTGTCCTCAGAAGGGGAAGGAATTGAAGTGCTTGGTCCCCGCTCCCAAAGGATACAGAACGCCTATTCCATGGCCGAAAAGTCGAGATGAGGTGACCTTCTTCATTGCTTGAATGACGTTACTTTTCTGCTTTCAGCATAATATATTTTGTCATCTTATTGTTCTTTTCTGAAAATGTTGGTTAGATTGTTATATACGAGGACAATTCGTTTAATGATTATTAGGGTGCTTGTTTTTTCAAATAAATAAAATAATTAGTTTAGCAAGTTTAAAATGAGAAATATTGTTTCAGCATTTTATGGCCTTTTCTTACAATATATAGGTTTGGTTCAGCAATGTTCCTCATGCGCGTTTAGCTGAGGATAAAGGGGGTCAGAATTGGATCATCATTAACAGGGGGAAGTTCAAGTTTCCTGGAGGTGGCACACAGTTCATACATGGGGCAGATCAGTACTTGGACCAGATTGAAAAGGTGTTGATATTTTCTTGATTGCTTGGATGGTTTATACACTAATCTAAAAGAAATGGGCTTTGAATTCTCTATTTTGCATATTGTTTAGATGGTTCCTCAAATTGCATTTGGCCGACATACCCGAGTTGCTTTGGATGTTGGTTGTGGTGTAGCAAGCTTTGGTGCCTATCTGTTGTCAAGAAACGTTCTCACCTTGTCTGTTGCTCCAAAAGATGTTCATGAGAACCAAATTCAATTTGCACTTGAGCGTGGTGTGCCTGCAATGGTGGCAGCTTTTGCAACAAGGCGATTATTGTATCCAAGTCAAGCATTTGACTTAATACACTGTTCAAGGTGTAGAATTAATTGGACACGGGATGGTATGGTGCTTTGTTCCATGTCTGATGTTATCTAAGTATACTTGTCTGTTAGCACTTAGTAGCCTCCCCTTGCCATTATCTGTAATTTCACAATGATCTTTGCTTGTTTTACTTCAAGCTCAATTATTACACTTTTAAAATATTCACACAATGCAGAACTGAAATTTCTATATGATCTATATAATGCTAATTGGTACTTAAATTGATGAAATCTTACACTTTTGGAAATCAAATTAGTTCTTGGAGCTCTATATTGTTCTGCTAGTTCATCGAGCCAGCCGACTGGAGCCCAGTGAATTGTAGTACACAATTCAGGAAACTATGTGACCAAGTAACTATTTAAAGGAATTTCTTTCAAATTCATTTTTAAATGCTAAAACCTAAACTTGCACTTTTTGTTCCCATCATGGGACTTGATTTCTGAATGCTGTCATTTGCAATCTCTAACAATAACATAATGACAATTATATTTTTTGGGATTTAGGATGTAGGATCTATAAAATGTATTGTACATCTCGTTTCTTGCTTTTCCAGAAGGGAAAATATAGCATCATTTGAAGATATATTGACGCTTACTAATCATCCTTGCAAGAATTCTTAGACTAAGTAATGTTCAGTTTGGCTTATACTTGGATAGGTAACGTAGCTCAATTGAAAAATTTCATGATATTGGTGTAACAGTTCTATGATAAGGATATTTACTTTTTGTTTTTGTGGTCTCAAAAGCCCTGCTATATTTAATAATTGTTGATATTAACCTCACATTTGTGTCTTTGTTTTCATATGTTGTGGTGAAGATGGAATTTTGCTACTTGAGGTCAATAGGATGCTCCGTGCAGGAGGATATTTTGCTTGGGCTGCACAGCCTGTTTATAAACATGAAGCTGTTCTCGAAGAACAATGGGAAGGTATGCATACTTGAAAGTTTGTCAAATGAGAATTTTTTTCCTTGAAAATTTACAAGTACTTTTGCATCAGAGCCTAACAGTTCATCAGCTTCTGATCACATACATGGGAATCTTGTATCCCTCAACTTTCTGCTACTCACCTGATTTTATGTCAATTTTGAATATGAAGTATTATTTTGAATTTATTTCCTAGAATTTCACATAAATTACGTACAGCTGGCAGCTATGTTGCATGGACACGGACACATGTCGGACACGACGATACGCAACCTTTCAAAAAAGTACTGACACAACACGTCGTTGACATGATAAAATTATTTAAAATTGTTCATTTATGTAGTATAAATTTAATTTTATATTTATTATTAATTATTCCTTGTGAAATATCTTAAATATGAGTACCTATTTGATATTCAATAATAACTTTTAAGTAAAAAATATATATTGTTGCTGATAAAGGAAAAAAATGACAATGGCTACTCTAGTTGAATTGTCTGTGCAATAGAGGTTGACAACTCTCCAAAGTAGAGCAATTCCCATTTTTATTAATTCAGTTTCTTTTTTTCTTCGTTTTAGAGATGGTTAACCTTACCAATCGTCTCTGTTGGACACTAGTAAAGAAGGAGGGATACATTGCGATATGGCAGAAGCCTTTAAATAACAGCTGCTATTTGAGCCGTGAGGAAGGAGCCCAGCCACCACTATGTGATCCAAATGATGATCCTGACAATGTTTGGTATATCTTCCATCATTTTGTTATTTTTCCTGTTTTTTTCCCTTTTTCATATGATTTATCAAAATACATGGCCCAGTTCAAGAATATTCTTATTTTCATTCATTTATATATTTTTTATTGTTAATTGTTATGTGATTGTATCTGCACGATAATCAACAAGAGGAGAGGGGTTCTATGCAAGAGATAGATTCCATAACAATGCTGTTACCATGTATATTCTTCTCTGTTTGCTATCCTGTGCATTTCTGATGACATAATGGATGGTCCATTGTTTGTCTCATTGCCAGGACTGAACATGACTGGGTATGGTTAAGGTAATCCATTCTCTCTTTGTACCTACAGGAGGGGAGGCAGAAAATGTTTCCTACCTCAGAATTTGTACTGAAGAGATTAGTAGTTGATTCTAAAATATCTCTAAATATGATATTATATTGGCATCATTTAGTGTTTTATCCGCAGAAATTGCATTTATTGCATTATTTGACCCATAAACTTTAGAACGAAGATTTGGAAATTATGCTAAAACTGGTACGCCTGCTTCATTATAGATCAGTGATGGTGCAGCTGTGAGGATATTTTGATTAGCTTGATCTGATACCATATAGGCAGATATGGGCCTGAGATATTTTGGATCTTGAATATGTGTACATATCGCTGTCCAAGATAATTTTTGTAACTTGTCTGTACAATGAAACCAGACATAGAAACTTGAACTTCCCCTAATAGAATTTAGTATTGTTACATATTCTTGTATGCATGGATGTGTTTTATTCTTTTAATCATCCCAAATAATTACCAAGGAATTTACTGCATTTTTGTACTTCATCAAATTATAGCTTGGCAGATGCTTAATGTTGTGGATGTATAACAGCATCTGACAGGACACGAGAAAGTAATAAACATTTGGTGCTTGTGTAATGAGTAAGTGGACAAGAAGTGGTACTCCTATATTTTATTTATGCTCTAGCTTCCACAGCAATATACTTGTCATGCTTAAAAACATTTGACCCTAACTATTACGGATGAAGTTAGAAATGAAACTCTATGCTAACAAGTAGAGATGACACACTTGGGGATAAACTAAGGGAAGAACATTGGCATGTCTTTTGTAGACCTAAAAAAGCACTTATTCTAAAGTAATATGATCTCAATTAAAGTGGTTAGAAGAGTGAGTGGTAGGCTCAAGTCTTAATAGCTTAAGGTAGGCTGGAAATGATCCGATTTGGTTCGATTCTAATGAGAATCGAATCGGACCCGAAATTTTCGAATATTTAATAAGTCGAACCGTCAGTCCAAATTTAATTATGGAACCGTTCGGGTTCGGTTCCATTTGATTCAGTTTGGTTTTCAGGTTCTATATTATAATTAAATTTTTAAATATTTACAAAACTACATTAAGTCAACTAATGATATGTTCAATCTTAACTTTTAAAAGATAACGTAGCCCAATCTTATGTCTTTTACGTCTCTCTTTGCTGAAGTCTTCATAGATTTGATTGTTAAAATCACAGGAAGGAAAAGATAGCGAGCTCACAATACTTAAGAGGCGTTGTCGAGTTTCAATTCGATTTCTCCAGAGTGATAGAAATAGTACTACGGTAGAGTAATAGATTTGGATAAAACTTAGGTCAATTTGATTAAGTTGGCTTTGAATTGAAAATTAGAAATAGAAAAATCACATTTTTTAATTTGAGCTAAATTAACTAGTTAGTAAATTTATTTAGAAAAAATAAAATAATTTGATTTATTTAAAATAAATAAATTAAAAAAATTAGAGAGATTAGATTCTTGATCTAGAACTGAGAATCGAATCGAACCCGTCGATTCTCAATTCAGATATCCGTTTGGGTATTTAACTTAAGAAGTACCGCTTGGTTCGAGAGTTTTGTCCAGCCCTAGCTTAAGGTGGTTCTTGATTTGAGGATTACCGTGAGAATCAGGGTAGGCCTGTCAAAATGTGAATATTCAATTACTTAAATGGAATATTTGTAATGCTGGCTCCCAAATTTCCTTGACTTTTGTATTCAGTTGAAATTGGGTTATGCACAGTTGAAGTGGTTACAAGAGCTTTCCATGCAGTTCCCAAGTTCTACTTTCTGTTACTGGAGAAAATAATCTATTCTCATTCTGACTGTTTCCTTTCCCAATTATGTTAGGTATGTTGATATGCAGCCATGTATTTCACGGTTGCCTGATGAAGGATATGGCTCAATTGTTACAGCCTGGCCTGCACGTTTGCAGAACCCTCCAGATAGACTCCAGAGCATACAATTTGATGCTTACCTGTCAAGGAAAGAGCTATTCCGGGCAGAATCAAAATACTGGCATGAAATAATTGGAGGCTATGTTCGTGTTTTACACTGGAAAAAGTTCAAACTTAGAAACGTGTTGGATATGAGAGCTGGCTTTGGAGGGTAATTTTTTCACTTGTTTTCTTGCATCCTATTCTATCATTCTGCCAATTAACTATGACATGAAATATTATTTAGCATTAACCAATCCATTCCTTTCCCACCAGATTTGCAGCAGCACTAATTGAAAACAAATTAGATTGCTGGGTGCTCAATGTTGTCCCTGTTAGTGGGCCCAATACTTTACCTGTCATATACGACCGTGGACTTATTGGAGTTATGCACGATTGGTAAGAACTAAATCGAGCATAAATTTGTTTGCTGCTGTTATTGGTGCATGCTCATCACTTAATTTGGTAATCCATGGTCAGTTTCTCCTCATGCCTCTATAACCTGACCTCGCAAAGAAAAGATAAAAAGTCATGAAAGTAATGTAATTGAAAAAATGCCACATAATTAGGGTGAATGAGAACTATATCAGAGGACGGACGGACGGACGTTCACATCTGAAAGCATTTCTTCAATTGCTGTCAGTATGTGTATCTGTTATGGTCTATGTGGTGTTTGTAGGTTTGGATCTGTTCTTGTATTTCAAACAAATTTGAATATTTATGCATAATACATTGTGCACGATTTTCCAGGTGTGAACCATTCGATACGTACCCGCGAACCTATGACTTGCTGCATGCTGCTGGCCTCTTCTCCATTGAACGGAAAAGGTATTCATTAATTCCTCTCCTGCTGCTACATGGATATATATTACTTCGATTTCAAAGTCAGCTAGAACTGGAGATTTTTCAATAAGTTAACACCGTATTGAATGGACTGGAGATCTCGGATTTTTTAGCACGCCATAACTTTAAGCATTCTACTATTCCTTAATTCTTCTGAAATCTTGAGCCACCTTTCCGCTGGCAGTGCTTTAAGCTCCAGATACTTGTTTGCTTATTTTTGATAGAGAAATACAATTTGTTTTGTTTATTTCAGATGCAATATATCTACTATCATGCTTGAAATGGATCGGATCCTAAGACCTGGTGGACGTGTATATATTCGAGATTCTGTTGCAGTCATGGATGAGCTTCAAGAAATTGGAATGGCAATGGGTTGGCACATCTCAATGAGAGACACATCTGAGGGCCCCCACTCCAGTTATAGGATCTTAACATGCGATAAACGTCTCTTACGGCACTGAACTTGCACATTCAATTCGTGTTTGTCTATTAGTTTTCACTTCTTCTCTTCAGCGCGGGGTAGAGCAGTTTGGTAGCTCGACATGGCATAGATCCAAATACGATAGGCATTTGTAGCATAAGAATTGAGATTCTCTGCATATTATTAGCAATGTGAAATAGAAATATGTGACACAGTTAGCGTCACATTTTAAACAACTGTCTTTTTGCCCTCTCTTTAAGTCTCTCCCTCTGGAGGAGGGGGTATTCGTCCAGTTAGGCAAGTTTATAAGAAAATATAAGCATAGTTGCAATTCCTTTATTGTGCTAATTCCAGTTCAAGTGTTATAAATAATACACGGCCCCATCGAATTATTTTGTTAATTGAAAATTTTTTCCCCCCTTTTTTACAAAGTTTTGTTATGGCATAATGCATAATATAGTTGAGTTCTAGTTTAGGCACGACTCCGGAACAGGTACAAAACATTCCTACACACCATTGGTGCTAATATTGTCATTTTCAGATAACTGCTTTTTGTATTTTTGACGTGTGCTCCTGTTTATTTCCCATTTTACAGTAATACGCGTCTGAATGTACAATTTAATACACAAGTTTGTTGTACGAATGTAAACGTAATTTAAATAAATAAGAAAAAAAGATGTTAAAAGATGAGTGACAAAAAGTTATTCTCTCTCGTCTTGAACTAAGGGTGTGTTTGATAGAGTGGAATTGAAATTGAAAGATGAAATTGGAATTGAAATTGGATTTTCCAACTTTTAGTGTTTGATACATTTTCTTCCATGGAATTCGAATTTTTTGTTTTCTTGAAGTTTGGACTTTTCTTGATTTTTATGGTGGTGGGAAATTGGTTTTCTTACCTACTATAGCATTTTATTTATTTATTTATTTATTTACAATGAAAACAAATTCTAAAAATTATTGTAAAAAAATATTTCTCTTTAAATGGCAATGTTCATGTAAAACAAAGCCAAACAAACACCAAAAGATAAATGATTTTCTTCAAATTTGTCCTTTTTTTTTGTTGGCAATGAAAACAAATCTCATTCCCAATACCAGTAAAATTTATCTCTTTAATTGACAATTTTCATTTAAAACAACAACAAACGAACACCAAAAAACACTTTTATTTCAACATTTTTCACGTGGAAAATTATACCAATTAAATACAATAATTTACAATTCTCAGGAAAAACAATTTTAGGCAATTCAATTTCATCTTTGCAATCAAACGGACCCTAAATGTTAAATCCAGTTAATGTCAACTTATATTTAGACACACAAATTGAAAACACATTAGAACACAAGTATTTTCTCTCCAAGCAATGTAATAATGCAATTTTATCTAAAATACGTCAACTTGTTAACATGTCGCAAATTTACTTGCTAAAATCTTATGATCTACTCTTACGAGACATTTGCACGATAAACCAAATTTTATAGAAAAGATTGACTTTCGGCAAAAGCTGAAGGGCTCAGTTTAAACACAATTAAAGATCAATAACATGTTCTTTGGAATAAAGAAAAGCATTAAAACTAACCAAAAACAAGAAAGGAAAGCAATGAAACTTCACAGTTAGATTGGACGAGTGCTTCTTCCAAGTGTGCAAATTTATCATATCTTTTTCCTTGTATGATATGGGCACCAAAAAAGTGCATATAGCATCGTTTTCTTCTTTAAAACCCGAAATAAAATATCAAAATAACAAGTCACCAAATAAGTCTAGGCCCCAAGCACATGGTATTATACCTCAGCAAGCAGAACCAACGAGATCTATTTCATCTTTCATGTATTGGCCTCCATACTTGCTGTGTTTGACTAGGAGATGCCTTGACCTGTCCACTCATTGTCCCATTTCGACTGTTATCAACCCTGGTGTTTTGAACCTGTCCATTCATTGTCCCATTTTGGTTGTCAACCCTGGTGTTTTGAACCTGTCCAGCTATTGTCCCATTTTGACTGTTATCAACCCTCAAGTTTTGAAACTGCTGTTGATGTTGTCCATCAGTCTGCTTTCTCCGAGAATGCTGGTGAGTCCCGAGTCCTTTTCTGCTATGATTACTAGAAGGTGTCGTTCTTGGCATAGATTGTGCAGGTGCTTGGTGTCTAACTGGCATTCTAGCCACTAAATGTGATATATGTGGCCTGACGAGATTCATAACCAGAGAAGTTTGATTTTGGTTGGATGAGACAAGTACTTGGTGAGTTGCCCGAACTGCTTCCAATATCTTCATCAACTGGTTACTGCTAACAGTCCTAGCCGTGTTCACTGGCTGCTCAAAGGGATCCTCCACCTAAGCGGCATTAACAACACAACTAAAAAATGACCAAAATTTCACTATTACAGGAACACACGCTTGTGTTGCATTAGCATCTCCCGTGTTTGACACACACATACAGAGAGAGAGAGAGAGAGAGAGAGAGAGAGAGAGAGAGATTACAAAAAGTGCATAAGTTCTGGGTAACCATCTCATGTTGCTGTTAATGTCTTCCAACTGTCCAGCATACGGGCTAACGCCTTGTACAGAAGCATTTGAACAAATTTCAAAAAACTGAAAGTGCAAAGTTAAAAGAGTGATTGTCAATGTTGCTGAAACAACTCCATTATTGTAATATATTCAAGGTAAGCATCTATAATGTATCTCATAAAATTTGTGAAACATGACAAGGTCACGTTTCACAGTAGTGACCTATGTTGACTTGGGGAAATGAAATACTGAATTTTTACCTTTGCAAGGAAGGAAATAAAGAGCTCAGACATAGAGCTTCTGTTGATTAATCTCGACCTATCAGATTTAATTCTGTTTATATTTACTGCACATGTCTCCTCAATACGTTTCTCTGCAACAGCTCTCACACCTTTGCAAGAGTGATGGAGATTGTAAGTATAAACGAAACATTGATCTACTAAGAAATTTATTGTACATAAATACTTGCACATGCCCCATAATAAACACTGCTGCATATGCTTTTAAAAAAAATCAAGACAAATGAGCACCTGTAAGGTCATCAATCATATTTCCTGGATATATTTCTCTAAGCGGAGGTAAAATTGCCGGTTCTAAAGTCTGCAATGTATTAGGAGAAACCAGATAGAAAAGTAAACTAAAACGCTGGTAACAAACAAATAATATTAACAGGTATATATGACTGATTGTACAAATCTTAAGGGGAATATGTGCATACATATCAAGGCAAAAGAACCAAGTAATTCGAAGATGGTTGTGAAGGATAACCAAAAGTACCACATCATTTTAGTAGAGTGCTCGCATGTTTCTTAAGAGTCACTTGAAATCTATGATGCTCGGACTCAAGTACGGATATAGGATACGAATATGTATCTAAGTGTCAGATATTTTATTTTCTAAAATATAGGATACGGAGACTTGGCTCAAAAGAGTCCAAATTTTGAACATGGGTACGTCATTCAAACTTCAATTTTTTTACGAATCAAAAATATAATTTTGAATAGACCAAAATAAATTATTAACAAAGAAATAAATGAGTATTGAATAAGAGATTAAAACGAATAAAATAGAATTTTGGGATTTAGTTTTCAATTATGGCAATTACTAAATGTTATATAAAATAGAAAATGAGAGATTTACTTGCAATTTGAATTTAATGGAGCACTAAGGGTCCGTTTGATTGTAAAGGTGGAATTTGAGTGAAAAGAAAATAAATTTCAGGGAATTGAATTACCTAGAAATTATTTTTTTGGGAATTGTAAATTATTATGTTTGATTAGTATAACTATTATGTGAAAAATGTTGAAATAAAAATGTTTTTTTGTTCGTTTGGCTTTGTTTTAAATGAAAATTGTCAGTTAAAGGGCTAGAATTTACTGGTATTGGAAATAAAAAAAAAATTTCCGTTGCCAAAAATAAAAAAATTAAAAAAAATCAAGAAAATCATCTATCTTTTGATATTCATTTGACTTTGTTTTATATGAAAATTGTCTACTAAAATGAAAGATTTTGTTACAATTGTTAATAAAATCTGTTTCTATTGCCCCTAAAAAAAAATAATTAAAAAAAAAAAGTCAACCTCGAAAATGAAAAACCGCCTAATACATGAGAAAATGAATTCCTCCATTTCATGGAAAAGGTGCACGTGGGGCTGAAAGTTGAAATTTCAATTACCTAGAAAATTGATGCCATCAAACATGTAAAAACTTGAAAAAGGGAAAATCTTTTCCACTTTCCATGGAAAAGTTGCCATATCAAACATGGCCTAAGTAACATCATATGAAACTCATTTTCATTTTATACAAACGAAACCTTAAACCACTGTTACAAAGAGAGAAATAAGGAAAAAATGAAAAAATGAAAGAAAAAGGAAAGAAGAAAAAAAAGAAGGGAAAACCTAGAATCACTCTCTCTCCACCCTCTCGGCGGCGACGCTAATTTTCTAGAGAGCGAAAACGGGGGGGGAAAAAAAAGAAGAAGAAAGAAAGAAGAATGAAGAAAGAAGAAGAAGCAACAATGACTAGGGCTGGGCAAATCTCCCGAACCGAACCAAATCGAACCCGACGGTTCTTGTCAAATTAAATACCCGAACGAGTATCTGAATTGATAACCGACGGGTACAGTTCGGTTCTCAATTCTAGACCAAGAACCGAAGAACCGAATAAGAACCGAATTTTTCTAATTTTTTTATATTGAGTAAATCAAATTATTTTAATTTTAATTTTTTCTAAACAAATTAACAAAATAACGATTTCTAAATCCAAATTTTTGGTCCAATAATTTGTTTCATTTCTAATTTTTTTAATTTTTGGCCCAATTACACGTTTTATTATTTCATTTCTTAGCCAAATAAGATCAAATCTACTAAATAACCCTAAACACCTACACTAAAGTGCATAACGTTGTCTGAACTCTCGCACTCACTCTCGCAGCCTCGCTAATATTCCAAAACCTATACAATCGTCGGCCGACATTGTGACCTCCGATCGAAATTGTAACCTCCGCCGACCGAAACTTTGATCGTAGCGATCATTTGAACAAGGTAATTTACTAGTCTCTGACATTCCAAAACCATCGAATGTATCATTACTTGTATTTATATAATGTTGTTATAAATGTTAAAAAATTTAATTATAGTACAGAACCGAACGGAACCGAACCCGAACGGTTCCATAATTATATTTGGACCCGACGGTTCCATTTACTAGATACCCAAAAATTTTGATTCGGTTCAATTCTCTTTAGAACCAAACCGAACCGACTCGCGCCCACCCCTAAAAACGACAAAGTGTCCAATTGAAATTTGGAGGATCCGACACATATCCCATATCCATACCCATGTCGTGTCGTATCCGACACGGGTACTCCAACTATTTCGAAGAGTCCGACCATCAGAGCTTGAAACATGTTCAAGATGTAAGCTATCGTGCTACTTTGTGCCAACATACTTCCCTTGAATTTATTCCTTTTTACTCCCTAGGTTTTACTTATATGTTCGCTGAGTTTCAATTTGTACTTGTTTATACGGTACTAATTTTTTGGGGGGCAGAAGTGGAAAGTAACTAGCATATCCCTCTCCAGACTACCATGGTCCCTGAAGCCCTGAAAGTGTCCCTTAAATCATTTACAGATATAGAAATCCGAAAAATACATAGGATTGATTCTTTGTACAATATTTAAGATTCTTCTGTAGTTAGATAGCGTGTAATTTGGCCGATGTAGGCTGATTTCTCTCTCCCCTAATTTAGGAGATTTTTTACCTTTTCTTTTCATCCCTGTAGTAGTATAAATATAGAGCAGTAGGTATGTATATACAATCATCAAGAAATACATAAATATTCTTCTGATTTCATTAAGTAAAATAATGGCAAGCAAGTTTACCTGAAGATGGAAGACTACAAGCAAGCTGAGAGCATACGAGTTCATACTTCCAGATTTTGGATCATTAATATTATGAGCTTTGGCCCATTCTTTCACCTGCGCGTGGAGATTCATATGATCATATTACAGCATATTTATCTCCAATAAGCAATATCTTTCTATGTTATGAACACTTGCCAGTAAAACAAGATCACGGAAGCGTCCATCAATCCCATCAATCCAGAATAGCAGTTTTGACTTCATTTGACCACTTAAATTGTTTATTGAAATCTCACAGGAGAAGTTGTATCCGCCCTCAAACTTCACAATGGGTACCCTAGCATGGGAGATGAATTGCAGCTTACGCCATCCACCTGCAAACAAATGAATTGAGACATAATTCAGTCGGGAATTTGCATATTAGCATTATGTCGAACACATCATTATTTTTCTGCCATTTTTAAGTTTTCATTTCCAAACAGAATTCTTGAATAGTTTCATTCTTCCAGCAAATATTTAAAGCATGTTATAGCTTAGCGGGGAGAAACATCAAGAATCTCATGTACCTCAGATTTAAATTGGCTATCAAAATTAATTGTTCTCATGAGTCAAGAATAGCTTTGAGACACCACTATAGAAATCTATTATTTTTTTAGCACATTGAGCATGTTATCTATCTCAGATTTTATTGTCTATCAACACTAATTTTTCACAAGAGTAGATGGTAGCTTCGAACCACCACTTTAGAAATCTTTTTAGGTTTGTATCTTTTTCAGAAATGCGTATGATGTGACTATTTTCTTTCTTATTTCACTTTAATACATTATCACATGGAGATGTGACAGCCGCATTTAGAGGCCTTGATGAATATGAACTGACCAATCTTCATCATTCTGGCAGCGATGAGTGGCTTTCAAAGATTAAAGCAAGCAGTGATGGTAAGAAAATTACAAAAGTAAAATGCAAAGGAAAACATGAATCTAATTTATGGCTAACTGAAGCATTTGAGGTGCAAAATAAAAAAAAAATAAAATAAAAATAAAAAAGGGGGAAAAAGAAGCAGCTTAAAGACATTGAGGTATTAGCAGCAGATCACCTTTCCTTCCCAAAGCTTTTAGTACATCTCCCAGCAAACTTTGCTTGTGCTTTTTCCCAGGAGATGAAATATATGAACCATTAGTCAACTCTATCGATATATCCAAATCTCCCCATCTTGTGAAAAGATTAGATGCAAAAGATCCAAATGGTTCCACAGTTGCACCTGTTTTCACCATCAGAGCCTTTAACTCATAAATAAATATTATCAACAAAAAATTCTTAAATTATGAGCATATAGTTTACTTTGTTATTGAATTGAGATATTGTGGAAATTTTTTAACTGAAAGAATTTTAATTCAACCACTAGAGAGAAGAGAACAGAACATGATGTCAACAAAAAGAAATATTACTTCGAGAAATATCACTGGTTCAACCTCAATATATTGTTCCTAATTTTAAAATGATATCCATTTTGAATTCTTATAGGTTTCCACACCTAGAGATCCGTTTAGGACCTTTAGATACAAAATAATCATACTGATATAAACAACAATAACACGAATCATTTAGAGCATCAGCAAGTCCAGAATTTCCAGAATTTAACCACAATACATAGATGAAGGAAGAAGTTCAAGAAGAGAGACACTCCTTTTCATAGGATTATGGAACAGTAAAAGGGAGAAACATGTATATTAGAATGAAAGCACTAACTTGTATCAAAGAGAATTGGCAATATAAAGCTCAATAGTCAACTATATTTAGCCAATATATAGATAAGGTGACAAACAAACTGCAGGTATTGGATGCACTTTCTTTCGATTCCCATGTCACTATATTTTCTCGAGGACATCCTTACCTAAACAACATTAAATTTAAATTTAATAATACCATCTAGAAGGTTTTTGGGTTTAAAACCTCAAGTAGATCCATGAGAAATATATCTTTGAAAGACTGCCGATCTAAACAAAATAATAACAGGCCACTCAGTTGAAGACAAAAGGAGTAAGCATTAGACTTTCTTTTAGATACTTATAATTAGTCCAAAGACATTTTCCACTTATGCTATTATACATAAGAAAAATGCATGCCAAAGTATTTGCTAAATGCAGCAATTTACTTTAACATCCCAGTTAAGTGGATTCGCCTTTAGAACCGTATAGCATAAAAGATCAAATTCTTCCTCAAAGTGGACTAGGCTCCTAGAGATTGTCAAATAACCAATTCTTCTCCACTTGAGGTCTCAAAAGTCTTTAATTTATTTTGGTTCCTTTATTGTTACACTACGAGAGTTTTTGCAAGAAATACGGAAGCTAAACCAAATGTCCAGAAATGACATATTTTGAAGCATCATATACCTCTCAGATTTTCTATGGATTCAACAACAGTTCGAAGCTCGTCAATGATATGAAACCTTACATTCCAATCCTCTCTCAAGGGATTGATCGCATGAAGGACATCCCTGAGTGTAGTCTCCAACAAATTATATCCATTCATTTTGAGTACTAAAAAATGCTAGCTGACCACCGATTACATGTCACCCTTTTGGACGTAAAAAAAGTCCCCTGCATGTAGAGGAAATAACATGAGAATGGTTACAAGTATAACTGGCATAGAAAAGGTTGTTTGCTCTTCTCCAGCGATGAACATTATAGAGAGTGGAAAGGATAAAACCTATGAAGCAAGCAAGTAATCAAAGAAGAACAACATATTGAAGAGTTAATTCGTTCAAAAATGAGTATAAGATGTATAGTTTAGAGTCCAACGAAATGAAAATATAAATTTGACAAAATTTTGTGAAACAAGCTCTTTTCCTAGCATTTTCAAGATGGTCACTTACAACATCAGAACAGGGCTGTGGATATCAAAAAGAGAGAAACCTGTAAAATGCATTGGGCGTAGCTTCAATGTATTGTATGCTGCAGATTAAGGACTAAAGTTCCATCCCACAAAAATAAATAAATAAATAAAGTTTGAAAGGCATCAATGAAGTAAAAGTATGATAAACAATTATCGTGAAAGCATTCTAAACAATAACTGAGAAAACACATTTCCCAATTACTCAATGTGCTTGCTGTTGATAAGTAGATTTATGTGGAAAAATAGTTTACCAGCCTATTAGAGAGAGAGAGAAGGGGAAAAAAGAATAAGCAAACAATGCCTCAGTGAAGGGAGAAAAAAAAGGAGTAATCATACACGAGTGCTTGCAAAACCAAAATCACAACCTTTCTAAATAACAATTTTCTTTACAGAAAATCAGTTTCTAGAACATACTATGTATGTCATTCTTGCTATGCATCTTGATATGTTAGGTAACAAATAGTGGGAAATGTGAACACATACATCGAAAAAGTATGAAATGTGAACGTATACAAGAGTTGACGCTCAAAGTGAATCAAATATCCTTTACATCATCGAAATGAATCTGTTCGTGGTTTGCACCATAATGACATAAAAGCTTAATCAACAATGAGATCACAAATCTTGAAAGGTACCAAGAACATAAGTTGGGTTAAAATCTCAAATCTTAAACATTCTGATATGTAATACAAAACAAAACAAAATTTAAGAATTTCACTGCAACCATCAAGAAAACAATGTTTAGCAAGCAATGGAAGTAGTTCGACAAATAGTTTTCAACCAGCATCATATTCCAATAGCTTCTTGCACAAATCTTTTGCTTTCTATTAACAAAAGTGACAACCACAGCACGAATAAATCAAAAGATATATCTCTTAAATTCACTCAGCAACCTTAATTGCATTTCCTTTGTCTTCAAATCATCTTCAGCAATAAACATATTATAAAGTTTCTTTCAGTAAATTGAACAAATAAGCCTCCCATATTTTACCAAGCAGATAATCAATTCATAAAATTCAGTGTGTGTGTGTGTGTGGATGTGTTACTATTCAAATGGGGGGCCCACATCTGCAAAATTCAAACTCAAACCCTAATCGATACTAAATGGAATAGAATTCTCAAAACTTTAGACAAAGAAGATGACCGAAATGTTCAATGCACTGACCTTCTAATCTAGGGCTTTGACTGTCAGATAATTAAAGAATCCATGGGCAATTGCATTAGAATATTCAAGGGTTTGCTTAATGCCGGAGAGCACGCTCTCTCTCCCTCTCTTTGTGCTAAGTACTCCAGTGGTATATATAAAATTATGAATTTTGGTTGAATTTCAAAAAGTAAACGAGGAATTGTTCCGGGGTATTTTAAAAAAAGGACTGGTCAATCCTTCAAAACTTTTTGAGACCTCACTATCTTTACTCTCTTAAAAGAGAGGCTTTCTTTACTATTCATTCATGTCATACTGATTTTTATACTTGCTCGATTTACATATCTAGTTTTACTACAGTTGGTTGGTCTCCAAAATGAGCCACGTTTTCTTTTTGAGACCGCATAGTCTGCGTCTTCTTGCTTTTGTATTGTCTCACATCCACCTCCTCTCGTGAGGAATAATTAATGTAGTTGATTTTTTTGATTTATTGAAGTGTAGTTGATTTTGTTGACTTCTTGAAATCTGAAAACGTGCATTCTCGAGGTATATAGCAAAGTTATTAGATGATTGTCCCTTTTCCCACATAATTGAGATATCAAAAGTAACATTATACCCTCTATTTAATAAACAATTTGGCACAATTACCCTTCACTTTCTAACTACACACTAATTTCCATAACTATATTAATGTTAAGGGTGATATGGGAATTAAAAAATATAGTTGTCCAAACATTAATGAATGGGACCCACATTTGAAGTAATATGTCGTGTGCTGTTTATTTTTTTTCTTACCACATAAATTTCGCACAATACTCTTCTATCAATTCAATCCTTCTTTTTCTAAATTCTAGCCATTGTTTTGTAGAACGAATTCTCCCCAAAATCTTGTTTTCTCTGAAAAAAAAAAAAAAGAAAAAAGGTCGTCCTTCTACCATTATTCGCTTTTGCCTTTAGCCTAATTCGTATTTTCTCGTCATCAATAGTGGAGAAGAAAATTCTAGAAGTTGCAACAATTATTTTGGGTATGTTCTTCTTATAATTTTTTTTTTTGTGTATTTCTTTTTTTATTTTCTTACTATTTATTTAAAGTACGTAATTTTCCTTTGTTTGTAGATGAAAATCTAGCTGGGTTCGTCTTCCTTTAGCTCCATATAAGATATGTTCTCGTTTCTGTACATGCATGAAAATATATCTACGTTTACATATTCATGGTTCATGAGGTTGAAGGTCATGAATTTTC